GTACAGGTTACCTGTGGTCACGCCCCCACCCGCCGTGCTCCCCTAAGAGCTGGGGGTGCGCCCCCTCTCAGGCTGAGCGCATGCACGTGTGCGCCCTGCGGGACGCGCGCCGGGAGAGAGAGCGCGCTGGGGACTGCCCCGCCCCTTCCCTCCTTCCCTCCCTCCCTCTCTCCCTCGCGGGTAAACTCCGGGCATCCATCAGTCTGTTAATTGCACTAATTAGAGATCGCGGAGGTGTTAATTGGAAAACCCTGGTATTGTGCCTGTTTGGGGAAGAAAACGTCAATAAAAATTAATTGATGAGTTGGCAGGGCGGGCGGCGCGGGTTCGCAACGAGGCGTAGGGTGTCGTGGCAAATGTTACGGCTCAGATTAAGCGATTGTTAATTAAAAAGCTACGGTAATTAATACTCCGTACACCATATGGGCCCGCGGAAAAGGCACAAAAAGTTTCTACGCGTGTGGGGCTCCCCGTCCTTTTCCCCTCCCCCGAAAGCACCCTAGCCCTTGGGTCCTCCCTTTGGCCCCAAGGTAGGTGGAACTCGTCACTTCCGGCCAGGGAGGGGACAGAGGCGGACCCGGGCGCGTTCTGAGGCGGCCCTCGTTGCGAGCCCGCGTTCTTCGAAGGCCCAGGGGCCTCGGGAAGTGGGACCCCCCCACACACACCCTCCCCCGCGGCGGCCCGCAGACTCCCCCAGAGCGGAAGAGGCGGCTGTGGCTTTGACCCTGCTTGCTTGCTTGCTTCCTTTCTTCCTCCCTCCCTCCCTTCCTTCCTTCCTTTCGACGGCGTCGTCTGCGGGAGCGTCGGGGTACTGGCCAAAGGCTCCGAGGTGCCCTGGCTCCCCAAGGGAACCCTGAGAGACGGAAGACCAGGACCTACCCAAGGACAGGACCAGCGCCCCAGACAAAAATCCTAGAGCACAGGAAGTGACTCGGCCTCTGCCCCAGCAGCAGCAGCAGCAGCGTAGGAGAGGGTGCAGGGAAGGCTGGGGTGGGCCTCAATTTTAGCAAATCCTAGAAAGACCTTCTAATTTCCTCTTCTTACTTGCTGGTATGAGCCCAGTGACTTGCCCAAGGTCACACAGCTGGCCCTTGAAACCAGATGGTCTCATTCCTAGAGCGCCTCTCCACTTCTGCAGGTAGTCAGCAGCTCTTTGCTGAGGAAATGGGTGCCTGGGGCGGGAGCGCGGATTGGCCGGATAGGAGTGTGTGGAGAGAGGCGGAAGGGTGGGAGTGAATGGAGGAGGGGGCTCTTGGAGAGTCCCCCTCAGTACCAGAGCAGGCAGCCCCGGTCCCCACTGGGAAATTTGAGGCCTACATTTCCCTTTGGGAAAGGGACAGCTGTGATTCAAGTGGAACCTCGGTGGCTCTCACTAGCCGCTAGAACACGGTGGCTTCTTGTGTACATACTGACTACGGATTTTTCCTCCTGGAGTTTCCAAGTCAGAAGAGACCTTCAAGACCACCTCTCCATGTAGAGATGGGGAAATGGAGGCCCAGAGAAGGAGGAGGGCAGAGAAGTCACAGCTGGTTGTGACTGAGCTCAGGCCCCCTGACACCCAGTCCCCTGCCTTCTCTAGCCAGAGTCCAGGCTCCCATGGACTCTGCCTTTCCCCCCCAGCCCACACCCTTGTGGTGGGTGCAGGGCACGGATTATCAAGGCCTGCCTCCAGTACCCCACCCCACCCCATCCCTACCTGGCCGGGCGCCAGGCACCCAGAGCCTGCTCACCCACAGTGCAGGGAGCACCCCAGTGCTGTTGCAACACCTGCAGAGAGACAGGCAGGAGGCTTGAGGCTGCCGCTGTGCTCCTCCTCAGGAGGACAGGTGTCTCAGGGCAGAGGTGAGGAGAGTCCTGGGAGCACCCACCTGCAGGTTTGGATTGGTATTGGTGGACAGGCAGTCCCGAGCCTGGAAGGAGGTGAAGGCCCCGGGATGGGGCAGAGCAGCGCGCCACGTGGGAATTAATGCCATTCGTACACCCTGCGGAAATGACTTTTCAAATGCATATAATCTCAAGCATGCAAATGAGAGGCTGTCTTCACCCTGTTTAATATGAATGATCGGCCCTTGAATAGCTGTTATTACACGCCACAGTGCAGCAATTATGTTGTTCACTGGGTGTCGCTCTGTCCCCCCCACACCCCAATAAAAAGAAAAGAAAAGGGCACCTCTGTTTGCGTCCTCCTTCCTTTTTTCTCCCTTTTCCAAACTTGCTGTCTGAGCAACTTTATGGTGTGTGTGAATGTTGGAAGGGGGGCCACTCCCTTACCCCAAGAAGAAACTGCTGGATTCTGTCTCCTTTCTCCTGTGCACACACACCCCTGAGGCTCTGGTCTTTGTCCCCTGGGGCCCAGGAGTTTTCAGATCTCAGGGAAGCTAGACTTGGAATCGGGGCAGGCAGCTGCTCTCCACCCCCACCAGGGCCAGGGTCAGGCAGAGGGAGAGCAGAGCGGCCCCTGCTGTCTCCCCATCCCCCTCGTGTAGCTGGGGCCCAGGCCTGGGTGAGGGAGGGTGCTCTGTAGGCTGCTGGGAGGGATCTGGGTGGGCGGTTGTGGGGAGGGGCTGGAGCCCTGTGCTCTGGCGGATGGAGGACGGTGCGCACCCCATCCATCATTTGGTCGCTACTGGCCCTGGGGCTGACACGGCCATTGAGGCCGGAGACCAAGTGCTCAGTCTCTTCTGAACCGTTGCCCCCAACCTTGCCCTTGCCCCTAGCCCAGCTCCTCGCAGAACCCAGGATTGGGAGCAGCAGCTGGGGGCTGGGAGAGCAACAAGCCCTTGGGAACACAGAGAAATGCACAAACGTGGGACACTCCAGCAGCACAGGGTCACCCAGGAGGCCACACAGGTCCACTGGGACAGACACCTAGAGTCACAAGAGCAGGGTGATATGGCACACACGTGAACTAGTGGCCTCCCCACGGGCTTTCACAGTGCTCTGTCCCCCCAACCCCCCACGCACACCTAGGTACTCTATCTTCCCCACTCTGCTGACAGCAGGGACAAAGACAGCAAGTGGCCCAATAGAGTGAGAAGAGTTCTTGCAGAGTGAAAGAGAATTGGGCAGCTGCCACCTCGGAGAAGGAACTCGGGAAAGAATCCTTCCAGCAGTTTCTCTTTTAAGGCCCTCCTGCACCTATTTATTGGGTCAGGGACACCGTGTGGTTGTGGGGTCTGCCAAGGGCGAAAGGTAATCAAGAAGGGAGGAAAGAACGCTGGCTGGCTTCCAGCCTGATGGCTGTGTGATCTGGGCCAAGTCTTTGACCTCTCTGAGCCCAGGGTGTTCACCCTTACAAATAGGGCAGGTGAAGAAGGGACTCATCATTATTGGCGCTTACTCTGCCAGGTGGTTTGTATGTGCTATTTTATTTACTTCTCACAGGATCTGAGAGGCTTGGAGTAATTACTTATACAAACAAAGAAACTGAGGTTTAGGGAGTTTAAGACTTATGTCAGAGATAAGTGGGGAATACCAACTGTGTCCTGTTTGGCTGAAATTTTTGTTCCTCTCAAGGGGCTGTGAATCTGAGGATAGCTGGAGACCCCAGCCTTTGAGAACAGCTCTGCATACTGAAGTCCCCCATCTGCTTCATAGTCTGTGTACGAGCCCCTGAGATAGTACAGCCTCCGTGAGTTGTAGCAGGAAACCCAGGCCTCCTCCTCGCTAACCATCACCATCCCAGTCATACCCTCTCTCTTTCTGAGCATGTTTCAGCCACTCTTGAGAGGCAGTTGGGGGAGATGGGGGAAGATACAGGATTCAGGCCTTGACTCTGCCTTGGGTAAATCCTCTGACTCTCTGGACCCTCAGTTTCCCGTCTGTAAAATCAAGATGATAATAACTATCTCCCGGGACTTCCCTGGTGGCACAGTGGTTAAGAATCCACCTGCCAATGCAGGGGACACAGGTTTGAGCCCTGGTCCAGGAAGATCCCACATGCTGTGGAGCAACTAAGCCCGTGCGCCACAGCTACTGAGCCCACGTGCCACAACTACTGAAGCCCGCACACTTAGAGCCCGTGCTCCGCAGCAAGAGAAGCCACTGCAATGAGAAGCCTGCGCACCGCAACGAAGAGTAGCCCCAGATCTCCGCAACTAGAGAAAGCCCTTGTGCAGCAACGAAGACCCAACGCAGCCCAAAATAAATAAATACATTTTTTAAAACCCCCAAAAAACTATTCTCCCGCAATTCTTGTGAGAAGGGATCTTGCTGCCTGTAGAGACAGTAAATATTGAGTGTCTGCTTTGGGCCAGGTGCTGGTCTGAAGGCCTTAGAATGGAAGGTCAGAGAAGTCGGACCACCAGCTGCCTTCACTGCACAGCTCCAGGCCCAGCAGAGGGTCTGGCACCCAATAGTTGCTGGGAAAATGGCAGCGGCTTTTGCTGTGTGTGTGTGGGGGGGGGG